GATCAAAGAAGATAAATTGTGTTTGGCTGCGGTCCATAAGAAGGTGATTTAACTAAATCATCTGTATTCTAACTATAAAATCACATATATATTTATCGGCTATACGGCAAATTCTCTTATATTCCTTTATTACTTTTATTCGTTTCATATATTTTTAATTATCTTCCATAACTGCTATCCTTTATATTATTAGGTTGAGCCATGTGACTGGCGTCGCGCTCTTCGGGTTATTCGTCCCACACATCAACGTGCCGGCGATGATATCACGACTTCTTCAAATGCAGCTTCTGCTGCTCTTTTATGCACATCACGCCTACCCCTTCCTTTGACTAATTTGCAGGTAGATAGATCTCTTCTTATATATTTTCTTGCTTATTTAACAACTGACAAAGCTTTTTGATTAGATGTAATTGATTCGATTTTCGTAGATGTGAAGATTAAGATTTTCTGGTGTCTGGTCGCATTTTTATTTCGCTGCATATAAGAGGTCTGATCTCGTTTTCGCAACTTGTTTGTTTTGTCAAGGGGACCTAGTTGGGTGCACCTAGCCCATGGTCCTCTGTTACAGTAATTAGGGTACTTCCTCACATTGAACCATGGACTTGGTACATTCTCGTTGACGTCCAATTCGGTCCTGACAACTCGACCAAGCTGCAAAAACGAGTTCAAACCACTTCTGATTAAGATATTATTTGCATCTAAGCTAACATGCAGTAGCATGCTTCTTCACATAATGGAAGCACTGCCTATTAGATTTAATTTTTTCGCAAAGGGTGCTTATCTTCCGGATAGCAGCTCTTGATGTGTCCATTAATTTTCGTTTTTTCATTCTCTTGATATTATTGCTTGGTTGAGTTAAAGTCTTTTGCCTTTAATCTTACTTTACTCTGAATAAACATTATTTGCTTTCTCTCTCTCTCTCTCTCCATATATATTCATATATATGTAATGTATTTATGTGCATTTTTCTTTTTATTTATATGCGTATCGAGCATTTAATTGTTGCGTTCACTTATTACAGAAGGATTAGACTGATTTTTCTGGTACATCTACGTGTGTTATACATTGGTCAATTGATTTGTTTGCTAATGTTTATTTACCACTAAAGCCTTCATCATATTTATGATTTTGCTCTTATTTCTCTTGATTTACTCTTCCTTAGTCTCCATTTGCTAGCTGCGAAGGCGCTTTATCAGCCAACGTAATCACCTGCCTTCTTCAGCCATTGGTCAACAGTCTTCTTTCTCGAATAACCATAGCTCTTGTCGGCGTCGATCTTGTCGCTAGCCACTTCAAGCTCCCTATCAATGACAACAGTCGAAATCATTCTGCTTCCTCTGCTTTTCAACCTCAAACTCGCCGCCATCGTAGTCTTAACCAGGCGCCGGTTGGTGATCCAGCCTCCAGCGCTACTTCAGCTTTAACTTCAAACAATCCCGGAACATCTTTTTATAGAGAAACAACTGGTTTTAATCCAGATACTGCTAGTCAAGCTGGCCACAAGGAACTTCAAATTGTCTCTGATGAAAGCGATGGAGGACTTAATGGCTTGGATTCGGCAGATGAAGCAGCATATGCTGGCCTAGCCTACATCGAAACAACTCTAAAAATACGGGCCCAGATGCGGCGTATGAGGAAACCGGCTGTTTTTACCCAGTTATTAGAAAAAGTTATAAGATGCTGGCAGTATATATTTTCCCCTGATGTAATTTGCCTCCAGCCGTCCCCTGACATCATTGGAGACACTCGCAGTCGTCGCAACCAAAGCTTCCCTCTTGCACCAAATTATCTTTCCGTAACTTCTGGACCCGGATTAGTTTGGCCATTTGAACCCTCCACTCTCCTTTATTCTCTATCAACCAGTACACCTACTCAATTACCAAGCAGCTTACTTCTTGTTGGCGATCTGCCAGACCCGGTAATGAATGCCGTCTGGCACGCCCTCGAATCTGTCCAGGTAAGTTCTATCGTCCTCGTTTATGCGTAATTTTCCTAACTGGAAAACATTTGGATCTGGGATTTTTAGAACTCTATAAATCTCTTCTAGTTGGATTCCGGTCCCATCACGATTACAGGCTAAAGATTGGACTAATGAGGAGCATGATCATCAGGAGCCTACGC